GAGTCCTGTGCGGATGGGGAACATAATCTCAAAATTTCGGCTTTCTAGCTTTTCTCGTTCCTGAGTTAGTAATTGTCCCGTCAAAACTTCCACGCTTTCATGCGCGGGGCTCGGACTTGCGTAAGGGTTGGACCTATCGTGGTACATGGCCGAAGAATCCACTAGCAAAATTTTGGCGCTAGAGTTTGCTTGGTTGCCGAGCTCGTTCAAAAGACCGTCCAAGCACCAGAACTGCCAATAAGGAATGAAAAACCAATGTTTAATGCATAGGCAAATCCACAGAACGTATGGAAGGATGTTTCGCCTCCTCCCTCCACCTCTGGGTGACATAGGCACCCCTGCTGCCACAGGCTGATCCGGAAAGACGCGGGAGCGGGGGGAGGGAGGGAGGGCGACGGGTCTTTGGACACTCCCAGCGGCACAGATACCAGTGGTATAAAAGCCAGGGTTTAAAGCTAAAACTGAAGAAAACTCTCTTCCGCATCTCACCTCGCCCCCGAGCAACTCCAATCCCTCACTCCCGCTTGTCGCCCAGGAAGCCGCCCTGGATCTGCCTATGAGCGGTACGAAAGCGCGGGTCTGCTCATAAATAAAAACCCAGGGTGGAACGCACCGGACGGGCCCGTGCGATCATGCGTTTTTACACCGGACTTGAAGTACTCAGGTCATTAACAGCATAAATGGTTGTTGCTTTGCACGTACCCTTTGCGATCACTAGCACAAATCACCATAAATTTTGCATAAAGTAGATGAACATTTTTCACTTAACGATCGTTCTTTAAAAATGATCTATTTGCTCAGTAGACATTTAGCCAAAATTTTAAGTGTCCGTACGTAAGAACCACGCGTAACTCAAGGCTGAATTTGAAATACTTAAGTTGTACTTGGACAGGGTACAATCCCCATAAGTTTCAGCCTTCCATCTTTTCTAGTTGCCGAGTTAGCAATCTTTCCGTAGGAACTTCCATAAGTCCTTACGTAAGTACCACGATAGCTTGGGGCTGAATTTGAAATATTTGAATTGTACTTGGACAGAGAATATTCTTCCAAAATTTCTGCCTTCCAGTTTTTCTGGATACAGAGTTGGCAATTTTCCCGCTAAAAATTTTACATGCCCGTAAGTGGGTTTCCT